AGCTCGAAAACACTCTCGTCTCATTGAAAACGCAAATTCCAGCAAATACAGAGGTCAAAACGCAATGTCACCGAAATCGCATCCAATGAAATACCGTCCATTCTAGAACATTCTCAGCTCATCAAAAGTGCAGAATCTCAATGAATACCGATGTCAAATGCAGTATCATAGAAGCATCATCCAATTGCACGCTACACTAAATATTGGAAAGGTAAGAGGGGACCAGTAAAGGGGAAACTTACGCGAAACAACGCGAAGCGCCAACAAAACAACGCGCCGTGAAAACCAACACTGCAGAACCGGCTGACAAGCAATGACATCACAACTGAACTGCAAACTGTTGGAATTGCAATCAATGAACTGTGAAGGCACCACAGAAACACGCAAGATTCTTTTTGCTCAGTTGGTGGTGGTGTCCCACGCACTTCCCCCTTGAAGGGAATCATGGCAAATGCCACCAAGAAATTACTGCAGACACGTCCAAAAGCAGTCGTAGTGCCAAATTGTAAAGCGTCGCCAGGAAATGAAATTTTGTTCACTGATGTCCCATTGGACTCTGATTGAATGCCCCTTCTTTGTAATCTCCTTGAAGTGAGTGCGTGAGAATATTGCCAGACCCACCCTGTAAAGAAACGTAACAGGGTTGGGCCGGGCGGGACCTCAAACTGTGTGAAGCCCAAAGCTTCTGAGAAATAAATCATTTCAGGTGTGGTCTGGCAATGATACGAAGAAGCAGCACCAGTTGAACTTGAAACCTTACCTGCCTTTCAAGTTGAATTGTAGCACAAAAACCAGACACGTCAAACAGAAGTGAAGTTTCACAAGCACAGCAAAAATCACACTGACAAAACTCGAATGTTGTACCAACTGCAACAGTCTCACCAGAGAGCATCACAAAGAACATGGAGAAAATCCAGCAACGAAAATTGTTGTAACTGCAAAACGTTTGTGAAGCCCAAGAAATCTCCAACAGCCAAATCCAACCTGAGAGAGAGTCTAGAGACCCAGAAAGGTCTAGAGACCCAAGTCAGTAATCCCCACCCTCCCACCCGGCCAATACTTAGTTTCACATAGACACACTGAGCAAGCTCAGTGATGCCTACGCTACACTAAATATTGGAAAGGTAAGAGGGGACCAGTAAAGGGGAAACTTACGCGAAACAACGCGAAGCGCCAACAAAACAACGCGCCGTGAAAACCAACACTGCAGAACCGGCTGACAAGCAATGACATCACAACTGAACTGCAAACTGTTGGAATTGCAATCAATGAACTGTGAAGGCACCACAGAAACACGCAAGATTCTTTTTGCTCAGTTGGTGGTGGTGTCCCACGCACTTCCCCCTTGAAGGGAATCATGGCAAATGCCACCAAGAAATTACTGCAGACACGTCCAAAAGCAGTCGTAGTGCCAAATTGTAAAGCGTCGCCAGGAAATGAAATTTTGTTCACTGATGTCCCATTGGACTCTGATTGAATGCCCCTACTTTAGGAGAGGACAAGGGGACCAATCTTGCACTGCCAAGAAAACCAGAAAACTACCAAGGTGATTTGTCAAACTTCTTCCCCTTCACTTTGGGGGCCAGCTTCGAAGACTCCTTTGCGACTTCCCGCAACCGCACAAACTCTTCTCTTGTTCGAATCAAACCATCCAGGACCCCCAAGTCCAAATCCCCCCAGGAAACATGTAAGCGCTGTGCCTGTTCGAAACCATCGTAAACTTCATTTGTAAGTTGATCAGCCTCAGTGTTCTCTTCACGAGGTCTCCATCTTAACCCAAGGCTCAAGCGCGCCCTCGAAAGAGCCGAAGAAAGTTGCATGTTGATCCCCATCAGAGGCCATTTCGTCGTTGACCTCTTTGCAGACAGCGATTCATTTGCGCGATTGTCTGTTCCCCCTACTAGGGAGATCTCAATCGCTTTCCTCTCCTTTGTCTCATCCAACCAGCCAAACATATGTAGTGCAAGCAGCGATGCAAGGAGTTCCGCAGAGGTGGATGCCCACTGAGCACCCAAGCCAGGCTTGAAAAGATACGGGACTTCAGAAGGCCCCAGCTTCACAGAAAACCATCTCTTTGATTTTAATTCCCAACCAGCGAGGACCACAAACTCTTCCGTGCATTTTGCATCCGTCCGAAACTGTTCCCCTTCAAAATGCCTTGGCCTCAAAGCCGACACCAAAAAGGTCTCGCGCCCAAACTCTGCGGCTATGTATTGAAGTGTCAAAATGACTGTATCTGGAAGCCTGCAAACTGTTCCAGCTGCTGTCACAGCCGCCCATGAAAAGAGCGGAGCCAAGTGTGGTTTCAACCATATTAATAACTGTGCAATGAATCCCAACCTTCCAAGGAATTCAGCGAAGTCTCTCGCCTGGACAACATATCTGTTTGCCTTTGCCTTCTCCACCCACTGAGTAATCCAAGTGCCGCGCTTTACTGAAATTCCAACCTCCACCAAGTCATATCGCAGCTGAAACCCAACAAACTCTGAAGCATATCCACCCTTGAATTTGTGGTATCCAAATGGCGTACCTGCAACCTCAAACGCAAGGAGCCAGACCCACAAGAACAGGAACTTGTGCTCCCCGGCAAAGACGCCATGGAGATCGTCCACATAGATCATGTGCATCATCCAACGCTGATGAAACATGTAACCAACGAATCTCCCCAGCAAGCCAGCAAGTTTCGACCACCAATATGGTGCACTGGAAATACCAAATGTGCCCGTCCGGTTAACCCAAATAACATCTGACTGTGAATCTGCTTTGCAACACATATAGCCCCAATCAGCCCTCCTCACCTTGACCAAACGATGGGCAGCACGAATGTCAGCGCTGACGCAAAAGGCGGCTTCGCCAGTCTCAGTGGCCTCCCTGACAATCGCCGAGATCTCGGCTGGCCCAGGGCACTCTATCTTGTCCTGGTATCTAATGGAGTGGTTGACCATGACAGAGTGAGTTGCGTCGTGAAGCGGACGTACAGTGCCATCTGGTTTTTGGATGGCTGCCATCGAAGCCACTCTAAGCCGCTCACCATATTCCTCCCTCAAAACTCCCAGCTTAGAAGGAAACATGCGATTGAGTTCCTCTTCTTCACGGAACTTCTCCTCCAACTCCTTCGAAGACATCTGTGCAGATGGGTAGTTCTGTGCTATCGGAGAAAACTCCGTATCGTCCAAGCGCCGGTGCTTCAGCTTGGGAGGGCAAACTTGTGGAGACCGTGGCAACGCCTTTTCAACTCCCAGACAAACCCCCGTTGCAAAAGATTCTTTCTCATCCACCAACCACCTAGCATCTTCGTCAGCAAACACCTGTAGCCATTGTGCAAGTGCTCTCAAGTGAAAAGGTTGGCCATCATCAACAACAGCTGCCCCCCTTGGGTCCGGAAGAAGTGCAAAAAGTTTGGCGCGGACTCCGGCCAATGTATCTGCTGAAAAAGGCGATTCCATGAGCTTTCCAGTAACAAGTTTAAAGGCTTCCGTCCTCAAATCAGGAATCACCGCCACAACGCAAGAAACCAAAATGTCAAATGAGTTGTCAGCCAGCTGCACCATTTCTGAACTTCTCTGAACACCCCTTTGTGAAGGCCTCCATCTGCCTGGACTGCACAAACCAAAACCATCTGTAAATTCCTTATGAGTTCGGTCCCATTCCACTGAGATGGGTTTGCCAGAGTTCCCGCAACGCTTGAAGTCAAACTCACCCTCTTCTGCTTGTGCCCCAACTTGGGGACCAGGCTCAACTGTTCCAATGGGTGCCTCAACTTGAGGCTGACTTGAACCTTTTGCCAAACATGCAGATGCCTGCGCAACAGCCGTGGTACTACCACCCTCTTCATCTGAATCAAGGAAAATCACTGAAGATTGATTGGAGGCATTGTGAACTGTGGTGTCATCCACTTGTACTGTCTTGCATTTCTTGTGGGGTGGCTGGAAACTTTCCGCCGTCTGAGGAGCCAGCCTTTTTTCAGTTGTAGATTTGGTCCTGTCGCCCCTTCCGCAGGATGCGCGAGCATGAAGAAACAAATCTGCAATAAATTTGCAAAGCTGTGCAGGGTAAGCTGCACTGGGTGCTGTATTCCAGTGGGAATCTGTTTTCCCAATGAGCTTCTTCTTATGAATATGCCCGCAAGTTCTGGGAAGTGGACCCTTGTAAAAACCAAGCCGATCAAACTTTGGAAGGGACATGAAACAACGCTTGTCGGTGACCTCCATGTTTGTCATGAACCGAGTAGGTTTGGGCGTAGGTGCCCCAAACTGACACTGGTGCACTGCAAATGAAATGGCATTGCAACAAGGAATCAACTCTAACACCTCAGGCCACTGCCATATGGAGCCGGGAAGTTCGCCCTCAACTGAGCCCAGATCTTCTGGATGTTCCAGAATGAAATGCCCTCCAGTGTCAGCCACAATATGACATGCCTGAATGCATCTGTCCACAAAAGTATTGGCCTCTTCGACCTTCAGTTTGTTTGCATGGCTGAGCCATGGGAATCCCCTTGGCCATGTTCTAGTACGCAAGGGTTTAGGGCCAGGATGATGACGATTCTGAAAACGTGCTCTGCTGAACGTGTTGCATGGTGGTGAAACGATTAAACACCAGCAGCCCTCTTTGAGGGTATCAAAAATCTTGTCCCACAACGCATCATCTGTCAAATCGTGCTGTGGCGACCTCTCAATGTCAAATTCATGCAATTCAACTGTAAACCTTCCATCTGCTTCAGCCTTCTTCAAGAAAGCCGCAACATCAGAATGTCTCCTTTTCCCAGCAAAAAGATAAACCACCTTCAGAGTAGGAAGCGGCCCACCAGTTTTTGCCTGTGCAGGCCCGCTGGGAAGGTCTGCACCATGTCCCTGTCAAGACGAGCCCTGCGTCTTGCTATGCTCGATTGCCTTGTGAGAAGCATAGCAACCTTTGACCCTGCATTGGTGTACTCTGCCGCAGGATCCATCGCATTCTCCACTGTTCCAAGCGAAACAGAGCTCACGACCATCTGGTGTCCTCCAAGCAAGGCTCAATCCTTTGAGACGTTGGTCCAAAGATTTGCCTTTGGATTTGCCCTTGGGAGATTTCCCTTTCCCCTTGGAAAACGAAGGGGATTGCTTGCCAGAAAAACCACCTTTGCTGTTGAATCGTTGCCACTTATTGGGTTGCTGGGTGTCCGACATGGCTGACTTGAGAGCAACCGGAGTTGTAAAGTACGCCTCCTTCAGGTCTGGATCCCTGATGACGGCCAGCAATGATTCACTGAGTGTGTGGCCCTCCAAGACCTTTTTCATGGCCTCCTTCCGCAACCTCTGTTCATAGGCCAGCACTATGGACCAATCTGGTCGCACCTTCTGTTGGCCAGTGTCACTGGCTGAAGCCGGTATCTGGATTCCAAACACCCGATCTCCTAAAATGTATTCAGTAAATTTCAAGAAGGGCTCCATTGTCAATCCATGCGACCAATGCTTTGCTTTGTACCGCGAAGCCATGCACAGCCATGTGTATGCCTCAACCTTCATGATCTTCCTGTATTCCTCCGTGGTTGTAGGCATTTTCGCCTTAGACTTCGTCCTGGTCACACGGATATGGCCTGTGTTGTCAACAGCCGATTGAATCACTGAGTTGCTGGATGACTGTTTACTCAGTATCTCATCCAAGGGTGATGCTGTAGGCTCATTGCACTCTGTCTCCTCCGCCTTGATGGACAGGTAGTCCGGTGATGGTGATTCCGCGTCGCCTAAAGTTCCATGAATCGCCTCGACAGCACGTAGCATCGCCTGACGCTCATGTATCTGCAGGACACGGGGTTGTCCTAATACCTTCGCCTCAGCCTTCAGCTCAACTTCTTTGGCCATGTATTCCTTTGCTGTTTCCCAAGCTGCAACAATGGATGCGATCTGTGACCTACGCTCTGGGGTGTCAGCCACGATCGCAAAGTCATGCAAGCAAGACGTCCTGATAGAGGCACGATCGTCTCCTAAGGCAGTGAACTTCCTGAGATTTCCGTAATGCCTGGCAATGGCAACTTGATGTTCTAATGTCACACCAGATTCTCCAAGGATGAACTGCAAATCAGAATCCATGTTTGTTTGCACAAATTGACGTTGTGCATCTGGGTCCATGGCCGGATCAAGCGCGATCCCCGCAATGGCGCGGGTGAGAAAGTAAAAATGAAAACACCATGACCCAAAGGCCTAAAACCTGGCCCAAGGGCAAATGAGAATGATGCCCAAACCTCAAAACTGGCATTGGGGTCAAGGGGGAATGCAGCAGCCAATGACTTCAACAAGACAATTGAAAGAATCCCACAGCTGAAAAGAAATGGAATGCTGTGTGAAGTGAGTCTCTGACTTTGATGGTACCCTGAGGTCTGAACCATCAAAAATGCAGCATGTCTCAACATGCTGTGACTTCCCAACAATCTCACTTCGCGTCACAACGCTGAATCAATCCGCAAACAAATGAACTGCAATCACCCCACAACAAGTAGAAATGAAAACCCTCAAAAACAACATGCAACCATTTCATCCGAGATGACATCAACTGCACAACTGACCTCCGGCACCTAAGAAGCCTCGACCGACCTAGAAGAAAGAACAAAAGAAGCCGAGCAACCGGAAGACCTTTACCTAAAAAGCCTCGACCGAAAGAAAAGAGGGCAAGAGCAACACACGACCGACTCCTACTCGAGTTGTCTGAACAACTTCACTGCAGACCCCATCGCAACTTTTGATCCCTTCGGGACTGATCCCATCACGTGTGAACTTCCAAATCCTCCGCCTCTGAGGCTGTGGAAGACGAGGAGGCTGTCGACGAGGACTGCTCCCCGCCATCCCTCCCACACTCTGCTAGCATCTTCTTCTTGCAAGCTTGACACACTGAATCAAAATCATCACAAGTGACTTGATCGACAAATGTCACTTCACAACATCTGTCTGGCTTGACAAAGCATCCACTGAGGTGCAAACGGCGCAAGCAAGTCCTCCGAGAGATTGTGATGAAGTATTTGCTGGAGTGATCACCAGCCAATGATTCCTTCTTCGAAAACTCAGCAACTTTTGCTGCCAGCTCCATCTCCGTGTCAGCTCCTTCTGCATGGTCTTGCCAATCGCCCTCATGGACCTCCAGTGTGGGAAAAGTGCCTCCCAAAGAATGTCTCCCCATCCAGTCTGAAAGCACTGAATGCCTCTTCCTGATCCTGTTGAGGTTTGCTCCAGATCTTTCTGCAGCATCGCACAAACGTTGGATGGCTTCGTCCTCATGATAGACTTCAGCCAGACCCTCAACCAATGTCCGGTTGACTGCACGCTGAATCTTGAAAACCACCTGCCTCGATGTTCTGACATACTCCTCAGATGAGGTCATCCCCATCGACCACCTCCCCAAGTAAGCTCTCTCGTCACGAGAAAAGCCAATCACCGCAGCAATTGAGGTGAGGAAATTCCGTGCGCTGTGGCCTGAGAAAAATGACTCCAGGCCATCCGGCAGCAAGAGAACATGAGGCATCAACTCCCAGCCCACGCCTGATCGCCTCGGGCAGTTGAGGGTGCTCAGCAGCTTCCCTATAAGCGAGCTCAACCCAGCAGGTGTCACAAACTTACGCTTCACCTTTGTCCAGCACTTGGAAGGCTCCATCACCATGTAGTCACGTGGGAATGAAAACTGTTCTGATTCCCAAATGTCGAATCCAGCTCTCAACCAATCTTCACCAGTCAAAGAAATGGTCCTGAAAACGTGAACTGCAATTTCTTTCTGAGCCTTATCCGGACCTGTTGTCTTCGACTTTCCAAGAATAAGCTTCAATCCAAAATTCGACAAGAAAGACCTCCGTGGGATGATTGCCTGGACATCATCACACCTCATTGCTCCCCACACCATGATGAGGACAATCCAAGCCAGAGCTCGTGTGAAGATGGGCTCGGAATCCTCAACCACCAGCAACTCCAGTGCAAGCACCATTGCCACTGTAAACATCTCAGCAGGCTTGCGAGCAGGGGCATCCTCACTGAGCTCCGCCGTCCAAGACTTGACATGCCCCCTCCATAGGGGATCATCTGAAATCCTGTCTGACTCCGGTACCCTTCCAAGCTGCTCCAGCATGCCCAATGTGATGCCCAACGACTCAGGCACCGTGCGGCCGCACTGCTCGTCAACCCGATGCTGCATGTAATCAATTGCATCCTTGACAGACTTGGGGAAAAGATACCCGCGATGGGTCTCGAGCCATTTCTCGAAGGGCTTCCAAACCTTGTACCTGCTCTTCAACGTGTTGGCACGCCTGGCAGCGAAGATGTGGATCCATGCAGAATTGGAATCCTCAAGAGTCTGAATCAAAGCCACAATGGGGAGGCCTGCATTGATCATGACCTGTGCAAGCAGAAGTGAATACTTCTTCCGTTCGGATTCAAACTTCCTCGAGCGGACATCTGGTGCGTCCTCTCTGTACTTCTTCTGCTTCCTCTTTGTATGCATTTCGAGAATGCAGTGGACACTGGTCTTCGTAATCCGCTGATATTCATCTTGAACATTCAAAGCATTGGGCAGGGGCAAAACATGCAATGCAGAAGCGACAGTTTCCAGTCTAAACCTCTTCAATGGCCTTGTCACTTCATGCTTCCACTGCAGCAACACTGCTACGTTGTCCCGCCTCTCCTCGTCCACCATGTGTGGGAAGGCATCGGCAATGAGACTGTCACAGTCCCCATGGTCATCAAAAGCTGCCTCCAAAAGGACGGGATTCCTGAAAGTGAGCTGCAGAAAACTAAGAACACCAGGCTCGACAGCAGGCCATTGAATGCCCATGTGAAACGAATGAAACCGAGTCCAACCTGTGTTGGAAAGTGAAACGCCCCCACCTACCTCAAACTGTGTGAAGCCCAAAGCTTCTGAGAAATAAATCATTTCAGGTGTGGTCTGGCAATGATACGAAGAAGCAGCACCAGTTGAACTTGAAACCTTACCTGCCTTTCAAGTTGAATTGTAGCACAAAAACCAGACACGTCAAACAGAAGTGAAGTTTCACAAGCACAGCAAAATCACACTGACAAAACTCGAAAGTTGTACCAACTGCAACAGTCTCACCAGAGAGTATCACAAAGATCATGGAGAAAATCCAGCAACGAAAATTGTTGTAACTGCAAAACGTTTGTGAAGCCCAAGAAATCTCCAACAGCCAAATCCAACCTGAGAGAGAGTCAAGAGACCCAGAAAGGTCTAGAGACCCAAGTCAGTAATCCCCACCCTCCCACCCGGCCAATACTTAGTTTCACATAGACACACTGAGCAAGCTCAGTGATGCAACTATTGTACCAAATAGAGGTGCACAACGGTCTAATCCCAGCGTACATCGTGAAGAAGCACGACGGTCCAATACCATATATTCACACCCCCTTTCGGCGTGCTGCTTCCAAACCCAAAACGACACATCCCACTCGAAAAGTCTTCAGTGTCTAACAGAAAGGAAGTCTCCTGTATCAAAAGCTGTTGGCCGGAGCCACATTGATCCCATTCTCTTCCAGCTGGACCGCAAAAACCCAAAGCGACACCATGTGTCTAACAGAAATTGCAATCGAAGCCAGATACCTTTGTTTCAATACATAGACCTTTCCAATAAATCAGGTCCCCTTGGAGACATTCAGAATCGCAAAGCCCATGCATCGATGACCGGAGTCACGTTGAGATCATGGCTTAACCACTCTCTTCCAAGAACCAGCTGGCTCTCTCTCAGGATCAAACTCCATATAGAGAAGAAACCCAGCCAAGTCCACGGCTTGAGACTTGTGAGTTCCATCATAGAACCCATGATACTTCTTGAAAATGAATCCCAGATACTTGTCCAGCTCAATGTCACCATCAATAGCCATCCTAAGCAGTTCAGAATAAGTCTTTCCGTTCCACTTCGGCTCACCATTGACTTTCGGAAGCTGGCACACCGTGTGAGACCACTCCTTCAGAGTGCAATTCTTTGGCAATGGAACCTCCTTGCGATCTTCACTTCGGAAGAGCTCACTTGGAGTAGTTGGAGATCCAACTGCTTCAAAGTCCGAATCACTCTCTCCCCTCAAACGCTTGGAAGCATCAGTCATTGCTGATCCACCAGACGCCTTCGGAGCCTGCTGAGCCTTATTCAACAGTGCTTTCAACTGCTTCTCCTCATCTTCTGTCAAACCACTATATCCAGCTGCATTCTTAGACACAGCCATGGCTTCAGCAAGTGAGAGAATAAAACGTAAGTCTTACTTCGGCGCTACTTAGAATCCGAAACAACACAAAGCCTAAGCCAAGAATCCAAACAGATCTCCACAGTAGCTACCAGAGCAAGGTCAGTGAAACGCAAGAAAGAACGAGACCTGCCTACCTGGCACCCACACAGACCTTCGAGGCCCGCCCACATACCAGATACACACACCTCAAACTATACATGTTCCAGTCAAAGATCTTAGACCTTTCCAACTGCAACGCATGTCAAGTCCAGTCTGTTTCAGACAAGTTCAAAACAGTTTGCATCAAGTCCAAGACATGTCCCATGCTTCGCATTGAGCTCAGTTTCAAAGTTTTAGTGCACGATCGTTTCAGATCAAACTTTATTTCGTCAGCTCAAGTTCGAAGACCAAAATCGAATCAAGAAACCTGTCATCCTCAATTCACAACAGCAACAACAAAACTATCCATCATTTCTCAATGCGTCCAAAGCACCACGAACAATCGAAACAGCTAGATTCTCATTGTAGAAAGCAGTTTCTGCCCAATCCACATCAGTCAAACCAGCATGTTTCTGAGTGCAGTGACACTGTCCAAAGTCCTTGGCCAACCGACCAACCATCAACTTGCTGTTACTGGTGAACTTCAACACCTTTCCAACCGGTTCTCCGTCCTTAGTCATTGAACCTGTTGAACACAAGTGCACAGCCGCAACATGTTTATGTTGAGCTTGATTCAGAATCTTCGTGGTCATGGCATGAGTCCAGATTGCATTCCTCCATGGCAACTCGAAAGATGAATATTTCCCCAATTTCATGTATTTGGCAACATGAGGAATAACATCAAACCAAATCACATCCGCTTCAGTGGCCGTGTCGTCACCCCTGAAATTTCTTAATGGAGATCCCGAAGAACATGGTGATGAAACATGGACAAAAACCTTTGAATTTCCCAGATCTTTCAATGCAGCAACCACCTGATCAAAAACAGTTTTCTTTTCCATATTCTCAACAACACCAATGTACAGAAATCCAAACCTTCTAGCTACCTTGGAAATGCTGGAGTCCGGTTTGCAACACACCTCAATGAACACAAAACCACTCGAAATGGCCATGATGGCTCCCAGAGGAGCGTCCAAAACCTCGAAACCCATTGCTGCTCTGTGTATCCAAAGATTGAGCTCCCCAGGCATTTTGTCAAAGCGTCAGCTGGATTATTGGACCCCTTCTCATAGTGGATTTTCAACTTTCCCAGTTCCACTCTCTCTCGAAGCCATTCAATCCGAATCTCAAGGTGTCGAGATTTTCGTGGTAAATCCAAACCTTTCAACAGTTTGATCGACGACTCAGAGTCAGTTCGCAGAACTCCTGGAATCTCACTGGAATCAATCTCCTTGAAGGAAAACAGAATTCTCCCAAGCATCTTTCCCATAGATACCATCTCCTGACTCACACTCTGAAGTGCGTACAGCTCGCTCTCCATAGAGCTCAGTGATACCAGAGTTTGATGCCTGGACAACGTTTTCAACGTACATCCCTGAAAAGTCAGAACACGTCCTGAAATTCCACGACGTCCAGTCGCTTTCAACGGAGCGTGAGACGCATCCGAGAATGCAACAATGTGTGATCCCGGAAAAACCTCTGAGTGCAACAATGGTGAATCACTTGGAAACCTAACTGCAACATTCATGTCACCTCTAAGGTATCTTAACAGCATACGCATGGCATGTTCCGTATACTGATTTGGCTTTGACTGCTGAGTCGCTAGGATACCTATCCATGCACGCAAGTCTCCACGAGTTTGGGCCATCCATGAAACCTTACCCAAAGCTGCTCTAAACCGTGCATAAGCATCAATGCTCAGTTCTTCACCACCGTCTCTGTCGATGACCGGAGTCACGTCAGGTGGACCTTTGGCGTTTGTTTTGATTTGATAACTGGCAAACGTGTCATCCAGGTAGTTAGATGGAAGTGAGATCAACAAAGACTTCTCACCACGCCTCCTAGTGATAAGCCTTCCCAAAAACCTCAACTGTCCCCCTTTCGAATGATCATGTATCAAACCAGTTCTTTTCAACCTCACACTTTTCCCAACGGTATCAAAGACAAAGTCAATTGCATCAACCGATGGCCCAACACAAATCAAATCATCAACATATGACAGAATCATGCATGGTTCACCGGAAGGCAACAAACCGCTGTATAAGCAAGGTTCCAAACCACAAGAACGCAACCTGCACTTATCAACAATCGACGACAAGTACACATTCCACTCCTGGCTGGCACTCCTCAGTCCATTCAGGGCTTTACTCAGCCATAGGTACAACGCCTCCCCTGTCATAGAAGTGATGCTTGCAGGCAACTTGGCAATCACATTCCGGGAACGTAGCGGCGTGGCCATAAAGGCCGCCGATATGTCAGCTGCCCCAACCAGCCAATCCCGTTGACCAGCAAAGCACAACATGGCAAACAACGCTTCACTCGAGGGAGTGGGTGACGATATTCCGAGTGACCGGGCTGATTCAGCACCCTTTGCAATGTCTTTCAAGACAATCCTAGCACGAACCAAAGTCGCGTTCTTGCGAGTAGTCACCCATCGAGATGGAATAACCCTGCACTGCTTCCTCAACTCACCGATCTCGGACTCAGTCATCAAGTCACCACATTGCATGCAATCCAAATTGCCTATTTCAGTTTTCATACCTTCAAGAGTCAAGTCACCAGGCAACTCCTCCAATGTTGAATCATCAATGGAGCCACTGGGACACCAGATCCGAATACGCTTGTCACCAAACGAAACAACAGAACTGGAGGCATTCTTGTCAAACTTCAACGAAGCAAGAGGCAAGTGACAAATGAGGTCATCCGAGTCAGTTGTGAGAAAAGCCAACGCATACACTTCGTGCAAGTCATTGATGGGGGTCTCAGACAACGAGGAATCACATGTCAAGCCAGACACAAGTCCAGCAATGTCAGGTTTTACATCAATACGTTTGTTGTCATCCCTGACCTCCCGATCCAATTCCGCAAGTTCCACATCAGGTTCCCGCTTCAGACCTCTTTTCTCAATCATGAGATCCTCTTCTGACCATTTTCGCTTGACTCCAACAGATGCCTTAGGGTAGCTACCAAGGGAATCAGGTCGAGAAACACCACCAGACTGAGAAGAACTCCCAGCCTGGGACGTGCTCCCTTCCCCACCCCCAAGGTTCACATCCACCGGCTCCTGGGATTCAACCTTTGGTTCAATCTTAAGTTCAGCGGCTGGTCCAGTCAACACATCATCCTGTGGATCAAACGCAAGTGGATCAAGCTCCTCGAAAGAATCCAAGGCACCTTGACGGGTCAAAGGAACACCACTAGGAACAGAGACCTCCTTGCCAGACCCTTCGCTTTTCACCTCCTGTTCAACCTTAAGTTTACTATCAGAAGGCTCAGAGCCCTTGGCTTGGTTGAGTTCAGAACGTATCCAATTCTCATACCGCTCCATACATTCCCTAGAGTGATTCTTATTCCCCCGGGTCCCTCTAATTTCTATCTCCTTACAAGCAGAACACTTCAACGATACCCCATGTTCGTCTAGCCACTTCACAGGTGGTCCAGTTGCAGGACATCTCAAGTCTGCTGGCAATGGAACAGAAACCTCTTCTGAAGACCTTGGAGCTTCTGGTAACCCACTACGTTCATCTACCAACTTGACAAACAAACCATGACCATCAAGAATCTCAACAGGCATGCAAAGTTTGATTGACTTGGCAACAAAACGCTGGATAACCATCTCTGAACCAATTCGGATTCTTGCAGAAACCCAAACTCCCATTGACGAAAACTCAGGATGCAAGTAGACCCCTTCGACAAACCTTGGCAAATTAGGATTCTTTGCAATGATGGATTCAGGAACTTCGGCTAAAACCTTACATCCAAACAGTGCAAAAGCATGATTCTTGGCTGTATCCCCAATCACCAAGTCTCTTGGAGTTCGGCTGGACTGCTGAACAGTCGTGAAATTGTTGTGGGCAAAACAAATGTAGTTCAAACAGCACTGCAAAACTGGAGAACTGAAAACAAGAGTATGTCCCATCTTCTGAAAATCCAACTGCAACGTTTTCAAACTCTCTTTGATTTCCCGAATAGTCCTCTCTGCAGTCCCATTCGCTTGATGCCCTTGTGGTGGTGCCCTTTCAACCACAACACCCATTGGCAACCCTGCTGACGCAATGAAATTCCCAACAGAAGACTCAGCATCCGTGATTACCCTCAGAGAATGTTGGTCCTTGCTACCCCATAAACCCATTTCAAACAACCACTTCTGAAGTTGGCGGTTATCCCTCTGTCGATCACCAGTCATAAGAACACAACCAATGCTTGAACTGTAGGATTCACGGATCACAAGAAACTTCACATTCCCCCTTTCGCTATCTCCAGATTCCGGTACCCACTCAAAATCCTTGTTGAGAAAACCAAAATCAGCATGAATTTCAAATTCAGTTCCTTTGAGGGTTTTCTTTCAAGAATGTTTAGTTACTCCACGGCAACTCTGACAAACCTCGCAAGTCGGCTCATAGGGCCGGTGTCCTCTGAGTCTGTGCTGCACCATCTGGTCCGCGCTCAAGGCACAAACCGTGTCCCCCTTTGGAAAATTATCCGCAACCACCGGAGAAACATTGAGGGCTACATCATTCCCTTCATATGGAACAACACGAATCCATGGTGTGTCATGCCAAAACGACAAATCACGAACTACATGTTGGGATTTCCTATGAAACATCCTAACATGGTCCTGGTCAAAAGTCACGTCCCAACCCTGTTGTGTCAACTTGCAAACAGAGATAATAGGATATGTCGTTTTCCCTACCATGACGTCCAAAGGAATTACAGCTGGTTTCACGTTTCCGTCTCTGTCCAAAACCTCAATCTGCAACAGCAATTTACAACTACCTTCCAAATCAACTGAAGTTCCATTAGCAGCTTGCAACGGCCCTACATTGTTTTGGATTTCGGAG